AAGGTAAGTAAAGGAGACTTTACAGCAGTGCCTCTTTTCTACCTTGAAAATCTAGTCTGTGAAAAAGTAAATAGTTGGAAATTAGGCAGACAAATGGGTAGAAAAGGAGGGGAGGAAGAGGGAAGAGAGAAAAATGTAAGAGGTCAGGTCTGACAGGTACCTGGTGAATCAGATCTTGTGTAAGTTCCCTTTGAGGATTAGAACTGAGAGCTCAGAGAGGGAGTGAATTCAAGACCTGCCAACAAATCTCCACCACTCCCACAATAACTACACCCCACAACAAAATCATCACCAATCCTGGATCTTATACCTGCACCTCTAGAAATGTAATACATCTCATCCAATGCACTGAATGCCCCGATGGAAAATACGTAGGAGAAACCAAACAACAACTGTGCACCAGAAAGAACGCATACCGAAAATCCATCAAAGACAAGAACACCCAATTACCTGTGGGTGCACACTTCTCCCAGGACAATTACTCCCTCTCTGAGCTCTCAGTTCTAATCCTCAAAGGGAACCTACAACACACCTTTCATAGATGAGTCTACAAACTTCACTCCATACATCTACTGGATGCAAAAAATCATTGGCCCAGTATAGACATTGGATTTATGACACATTACAACCTACCTGACATCTGATTCACCAGGTACCTGCCACTGATCTCTTACACTTTTCTTCCCCCACCCCTTCTCCTCCCCTCCTTTTCTGCCCTTTGTCTTCCTAATTTCCAGCTATTTACTTTTTTCACAGAAGATCTCTTCTCTACATTGACAATATACTCCTGTAGAGAGTCTCCCTTACTTACCTTTGGCTTCCTCACTCCCCAACCCCTTCTTAATTTCCACCTATTTACATGCTCACCGACATCCTGTCACCCTTCTAGCTTCTTTCATTCCTTGGAGTCTCAGAACAGCAGAGACTCCCTATGCCTGAAGAAGGGTGACTGCACCCAAAAGAAAACAACCCTCTCCCCCCAACTACTCAGTTGGTCTAATAAAAGATATCACATCTACCCAAAGAACCCTGCTTGCCTATGTCCTTAGACCGACACGGTTACAGCCAAAAACCAAGTTAAGGAGTTCTGACGCTGGGGGACGGGAGAGAAAAACTGACCATCTAAGAAGTAGTGCATCTAGTCTCTTCCTCCCGCTTGTGACTAGAACCATAATATTAATGACGATGCTAATTTCTGGCATTTTGCTACAATGCTCCAGAATCCATGGTTGTAGCAACCATTTTGTTCTCCATCAAACCTTGCACAGTGTTAGGAAATTAGGAGGACACTAAAACCAAAAAACATCACAATTACTGTATAGCCCTGCATTCATAGCAGGTCTTGGTATGTTATGCTATTATTTTTATTATTTTCAAATGCTAACTCTTCAGAATTTAGGCAAGATGGAATATGTATTTTGATGTGCCCTCAGAAAATACTGATATTTCCTAAAACATACATCTCAACCCTACATTCACAAGGCCTGCAAGATAGTCTTCTGTGCCCATTCGCCAATTTCTTTCCTGACACTATGCCATATCAATGGATTAATTTATCTGTAGCTTGGTAATTTGTCCGAATACTTTATTTATGGTGAAGAAAGACTCTACAGCACAGCTAGCATACATGCTGGAACGCACTTTATACACAGGTTTGGATTTTGCTGAGAGAACAACATGCAGTTCAGTGTTACTTAGGTATCAAAACCAAAGACATTTTTTTTGTACTAAGCAGCTTTGTATTAATAACATGCTGGCCAGTTGCTGGTAAAAATCCATTGCTGTATACAATTTTTTTTTGTGGCTATGTGACAATACTTCCCAAAAATATTAGTGCATCATTCATCGTGCCACCAAGTTCCACTCCCTTCAGCTTCCTGCTAATAGAATTATTTTCTTTGTCAAAGCTGTCTGGCATTCAGAATGAACCTGGTGTTTTAAGGTCTTATTTCCCCGAATGCTACGCTTTCTGCAACTGACACTTCAATATCCATTCCTGGGTATTCACTGAAAGGTTTATTTCCTAACAAACACACCACAGGTTATGTGCAAATAGAGCACTATTAAGGTAACAGGCCTTTACATGGGGGTAGGTATTTACCTGCATGAGATTCACTGCAGGACTAGAGCTTCACCATTTCTTTAGCAAGGGGGGAGGGAAGAATAAAGCATTAACTTATGTGAAGAGTGGAGTTTTACCCTTGTACATCTTGAACTGCCCAACCCTTAGGAAAAAAAATATCCTGCTGCTGGAGACTAAACATGAGCTATCATTCCAAAATGTAATTTCAAAAATAATGCTTTAGCAAAAACTGATCAATGAAGCCGTTTTGCACCATTATCTATACTGTTTACAGCAGCTTTATAAATATGTGTTTGAATGTGTTTTACAGTTTAGACTTGTTCTATAGATCTTCTGTTCTGGACTCCTCAAGCACCCAGTTTCTTTAAGGAAAAGAAAACTTAACAAGTACCAGAGAGAACACAAGCACTGACTGACCACTACAGCTTTGCAGAAGTTGAATCTGGCTATATTAAAGAAATAAGCTCTCACCACTTACATTGATAATGCAAGCATCTTTAACTCTACCAGCTGGAGTAACATAACATCCTATTGGAAATCCTGGATTACAGTATTTTTGTCCATCTTCCACATCATAACACCATGTTACAGGCATATTATCAATAATCCTAGACAAAAAAAAATTTTAAACAGGCAATTCCTCAGTAAGAAATGTTATCTAGTTGTTCCTTCATTTTCACATTGGTATGCAATATTCAAGGAAAAAGGCCACAGGGTTTTCATTAGGTCATAATGAACATTATGTTGCAGAATAATTATGAGATAGCAAGCACAAATGTGCCCATTTGGAACAATTAATTATGTTGTGTTAAATTAACTACAAGCAACAAAATGAAAAATGGAGAGTATATCTAAACTCACCAGTGATGTTGATAATTCAGCTGCATTCCCTTCTTCAAAAACTCCAGTTTATTTCTGTCACTAGCATTTTCTGGGTCATACGATTTTATACAAACTTTCTTGCATGTTTCAGGTTTGTTAAACTTGAACTGTTACAAACACACACAAAGAGCGCAATTTTAAAATTATGTTCCCAAAATTCCTTCTTAAAGTCTTTTCCCATCCAGATCCTTGCCCTTCAGGATAAAAAAAAAAATTCTGAAGTCAGTCTGTTTTTTATACTAAACTTCAACTTAACTTTAAGAACCAAGATTTCCAGATGTCTTGTCCAAAACATTGCTCACTCTTAAAAGCATACTATCTCCAGTCAGAATTATACAAATACATGACATGTTAACAGTAAGATTTCTTCAGTTGAAAACTGATAGGAAAAACTATTTATATAATTCTTTTTCTCCCCCACTCAGTTTTGCTCACCGCAGTACGTCAGGAAATTAGGTTATTAACAACATCCATTTCAAATACCAGATTTCAATGCAAGCTTTTAGACTCATCAAGGATAGATGCTCTAAGAGCCTACAGTAATGTTACCAAAAATACAGGAAAGACAATGAACCTTTCCAGCTGAAGTGCACTTTTCCATTAGGAAAAAAATGTCTTCACACATTTAAAATAGGTCAGAATTTACAATTGTCAGCTAGCAGGTGTAAAAGGCACAATTAGAAGTCCTAGTGTAGACAAGCAATACTTAAATAAGAAGATAGTACATAGCTTGTGGGCTGTCACAGGGAAACAAATAGGATGTCAAAATTCTCTACATTTGCATCGCCATGTCATAAACAGTTTTCCGAAAGTGCATGCGTACTGGTAGAGTAGATTAGTTTGTCTCAATTTCCATTGTACAGTAACCAAAATTTTGGTCATATGAGGACTTCTACTTGAATATTCTCTATAAAATAAACATAACATTGAGTACTCTTGGGGAAAACCATTTAGTGGTTTTCTTAGATGTTCTTGCTTACCATTCAGTAAGTTTCACATTTTATAAGGAAAGAAATGCAACATTACACTAACAGTCCAAAACGCATGCTTGCTTTCAGTCTGCTGAACTTAACAAAAGGAAAGACTAAGCAGAGTTGAGATTATAACTATCAAGTACAATAGTGTCATGTTCAAGAGCTGGAATAACCTTGTACGGTGATGATGCTATTCTCTCCCCAAAAAGGACTTGCCCAAGATTTTCCGAAGGTCTTTTTTCTTCCTTATCTTGACAGAAATCAAAACTGAAGAAAAAGAAAAAAAAATCCTTAATACAAACCCACTTCAGCTGAAATTAATTTTAAAAAGAAGTCTGTTCATTAAACCACATCCCTGATTTTGGAGTCTTTATGCCTCTTATCACCAATGGTTAACATCCATTTCCATTAAAAAAAAAAAAACCAACCTAATTTCAAAGAGATTAGATCATTTGTATACAAAATATCAATTGCCCTCCAGGACACTCCCTAGACTAAATAACATTTCTTTTAGATATAAAACAGTCATATCTTAGTGCCAGGGCCTTTTGAAAAATGCATTTTGCAAGCTTCAGACAAACAAAAAAAAAAGAATCACGTAAGTCATTGCTTATATTCCTTTCACAGGACAAGGGCAAAGGAAGAATAATAAAATATATCATTTCAGAGAAAAAATAATTTGCATGGGGTTTTGTTGTGCATTCCAAAGAGGAAGTATTTGACAACATTTATACTAGGAGGCAAAATATGAGGCCATCAATTTTTCTACAACTTTCCCCAGCACTTTTTTTTTTTTTTTTAAAACAGAGGAAGACTGGGGGAGAAGGGGAGGAACCTAACTATTTTGGAGCTACTCTTCACATATAAGTATCTAAAAGGCATGATAAAAAATACGTGCCACTGGTGACTGAGCTTCCCCCCAACTGCATGCAGGCCTAAGTCACTGAGATCTGTGCAACATTTAAAGATAACTGCTACCTCTGTTTGCAATCTGAGACAAACTCCAGTAAGTAATCTGCTGCTACCAAGCAAACACACAGTGAAATTTATGAGATTCTTCTGCGTTTCACTTGTTATTCACCAGTGGATTCCACAAGTTTCACAATACTACCTCCCAAAAATAAATAGCAACAGAAATTAAACAAAAGCTCAGAGGTGGGAAACCACATTTCTTCTCTTGTCAACCTTGAACAGAGACAGAAAAAGAAACTGAAAGCCTCTAGTTTCCCAGCAAATGAACTTCAAATTATTCATAGTTTTTTAATATATATATGACAAGAGATTAACCTGGACCTCCCAAATGGGATGCATGGCAAACCCACCCCCCTCATCTTCACTGTCCCCAATTAATTACTCTCAGAGAAATATGAAAATGTATTCCTTCACCTAGTCTGATAATTTTTTCAGGCTCCACAGACATTGCATCACATGACAAGTTGTAACACTGCATTGAAAGCACAGGACTGAAAACAGGCTTCCCAACACTGCCAGGATCTGTCTGCAATATACTTACGCATCATATTCGTAAGGTAGGACTGATTCCACTGAGTCCAGTCTGTTCACAAACAACTCAATGAGCGACTAAAGGAATGGGAAGGAAAATAAAACAAAAATAATATGTAGAGGAATATGAAAAAAATAAAGCCTGTGGGACCCTGAAAAGCCTGTTCAACTAATGAAACCCAGGCCAAATGGGGAAGTGGTTGATTCTCTCTTCCCCAGGCTGCACCTAGGCCAGCAGGCCTCAGTCTTCTTAGATCGGCACGCCCTGGCCAGATTCAAGTCCCCTCTCAAAAAATGCCAGTTTTCACTGATTTTTTGACTAGAGACAAATACTAGAGTGATTCTAAAGCTGCAAAGAGCTCAGAAACACTGCAGCCGTGTTTTTAGTCCTATCAGAAACCTCTGGGTTTGCCTTGCAAATCGGGGCTGCACACCTAATGCCATGGCACCCCTGCAAGCATCTCGAGGCACCCCAGAGCACCCCAGTTGAGGACCACGTGTTAGGGTTACAGGCACGGCACCAAAAGCC